TACAGAACACACTATGTGGGTGTCATACCTGTACAGAACACACTATGTGTGTGTCATACCTGTACAGAACACACTATGTGGGTGTCATACCTGTACAGAACACACTATGTGGGTGTCATACATGTGTACAGAACACATGTGGGTGCCATACATGTACAGATATGTAATCCAAAGTGTACAGAACACGCTATGTGGGTGTCATACATGTACAGAACACGCTATGTGGGTGTCATACCTGTACAGAACACACTATGTGGGTGTCATACATGTACAGAACACACTATGTGGGTGTCATACCTGTACAGAACACACTATGTGGGTGTCATACATGTACAGAACATGTACACTATGTGGGTGTCATACATGTACAGAACACGCTATGTGGGTGTCATACATGTACAGAATACGCTATGTGGGTGTCATACATGTACAGAACACACTATGTGGGTGTCATACCTGTACAGAACACACTATGTGGGTGTCATACCTGTACAGAACACACTATGTGGGTGTCATACCTGTACAGAACACACTATGTGGGTGTCATACCTGTACAGAACACACTATGTGGGTGTACATACCTGTACAGAACACACTATGTGGGTGTCATACATGTACAGAACACACTATGTGGGTGTCATACCTGTACAGAACACACTATGTGGGTGTCATACCTGTACCTGTACAGAACACACTATGTGGGTGTCATACCTGTACAGAACACACTATGTGGGTGTCATACCTGTACAGAACACACTATGTGGGTGTCATAACACACTATGTGGGTGTGTACAGAACACACTATGTGGGTGTCATACATGTACAGAACACACTATGTGGGTGTCATACATGTACAGAACACACTATGTGTGGGTGTCATACCTGTACAGAACACACTATGTGGGTGACATACCTGTACAGAACACACTATGTGGGTGTCATACCGTACAGAACACACTATGTGGTGTCATACCTGTACAGAACACACTATGTGGGTGACATACCTGTGAAGAACACACTATGTGGTGTCATACCTGTACAGAACACATATGTGGGTGTCACTATGAACGAACACACTATGTGGGTGTCATACCTGTACAGAACATGTGGGTGTCATACGTGCACATACACACTGTGTCATAGAACACAGAACACACTATGTGGGTGTCATACCTGTACAGAACACACTATGTGGGTGAAATCATCACATACCTGTACACAGAACACACTATGTGGGTGTCATACCTGTACAGAACACACTATGTCGGTGTCATACCTGTACAGAACACACTATGTGGGTGACATACCTGTGAAGAACACACTATGTGGTGTCATACCTGTACAGAACACACTATGTGGGTGTCATACCTGTGAAGAACACACTATGTGGGTATCATACCTGTACGGAACACACTATGTGGGTGACACACCTGTAAAGAACACACTATGCGTGTGTCATGCCTGTACAGAACACACTATGTGGGTATCATACCTGTACAGAACACACTATGTGGGTGACATACCTGTACAGAACACACTATGTGGGTGTCATACATGTACAGAACACACTATGTGGGTGCCATACATGTACAGATCATGTAATCCAAAATGTACAGAACACGCTATGTGGGTGTCATACATGTACAGAACACGCTATGTGGGTGTCATACATGTACAGAACACACTATGTGGGTGCCATACATGTACAGATCATGTAATCCAAAATGTACAGAACACGCTATGTGGGTGTCATACATGTACAGAACACGCTATGTGGGTGTCATACATGTACAGAACACGCTATGTGGGTGTCATACCTGTACAGAACACACTATGTGGGCGTCATACATGTACAGAACACGCTATGTGGGTGCCATACATGTACAGAACACGGTATGTGGGTGTCATACATGTACAGAACACGTAATCCAAAGTGTACAGAACACGCATGGTGGGTGTATCAAAACTCTTTCAAGAAACACAAACCGGGCGATGGACGAATCTCCACGGCGTAACGTTCACAATGCGAAATGTTAACAGCACTAGATGCCAGTCGTTACACACAATCATAAATCGAGTTAAACTTGTTAGCCATAGTTAGTGTCTAGCTACACACCATACCAAGTGTTTGTGGGTGCCTCTTCATGCGGAAAATTGCTCTAAAGGTAAATACAGCCTTGAAATCAGTGGAAACTGATAGCCCGCCAGTGGGTCATCTCGTCCTAGCTCATGCGATAAGTAACATCTATAGTACACTAACGGATGTTCCCTTGTCAAGGGAGTTGCGAAAGTCACTACATGCTGAAACTGAAACCCTTGCCTGGGGTGAACATTCATCACAAATGTAATTGGGGGCTGGTATGGGTGGAGGGAGGGCATTATATAGGGAGAGTGGGCATTATATAGGGAGGGAGGAAGGTAGGGCATTATATACAGAGGGAGGGTGGGTCATACACAAATGTCACCACACCCCATAAGATTACCTTTATCAGCTGTGGTGTGATTTCGTTAATATTGTCATTTGTATAGCCTTGAAGATGTGTGTCACCTTTCAATCGTAAGTGCCTTTTATTCAGATAATAGATGTAACTTTTTGAAACAAAACTGCGGGATTTGAAGTCAGTTTAATGTCAATTCAGTCACTATATAAACTCTCCTATCTGGTGTTAATTGTGTTACAACCCATCGCCGTCAATCTTCACTACACTTTATATTGCTGAGTGCGGCGTAAAACTAAACTCACTCACTCATTTCGCGATAGTTCACACACTCCGCATCTATAACCATTAGGGCTGCGCAATATAACCGGTTTACCGGTATTTACCGGTTAGACATGAAAACGATACGTATTGCGATACGCTGATCGAAAACCGGTATTTTGACATGCATTCGGAAAACTTCGTAACACTCGGAAATCTTCGGATATTTCCGTTTTTTGAAGTGTTCTTTTCCCTGTTTCATTAGTGCCAAATGTTACTTACATTTTTATTTTATCATTATTAAAAGTTTATATAAAAGCTTAATCAATCATAGTGATTTTGTTGTGTTTTTGCTTTATAATCAAGCATTAACTCGATTATAAGTAGTTTTTGCTAAAAAATAATCCATGCAATATATTGCAATACATATCGCAATATATGCTTCCGCATCGCAGTATATCGCAATATGAAAATTCTCTGCAATACCCACGCCTAATAACCATACTCAGAGACCATATACCGGTATATGGTCTCTGATTTTAAGTAACAACTTTATTTCATGCCCCGGCCCCGACCCCGAACCCTTTCCCATAACTACTTGTAAACTGTTGTCATGGCACCTACCTCTCCTATAAACTTGACCAATCTCCAAGTAATATTCAACTCAATAATTAGCTTATCCTCTTTTGTTTTGTGACAACTTTAGCTGTGTCCCTTTTCATGCTCCCTCCCCCCAACAATCTCACCGGCACCCTCCCTCATAATAAATGACCAGTCCTTTACTGACCGACACCTCTTGTTTGAATGTTCTTTCATCTTGCTTGCACATATCAAATGAAGACATTGGTTTGGTGTACCGACAACAATAGTCCGACCATTGTCACGGTGTCCTCCTTTCATGACACAGTGGCGCCGTTTCGGTTCAGAACAGTTTGAATTACGGAAAGAGAAGAATTGTTATATTCCTCTATCACACTTTACATAAACTTTATGATTTGACCATTAAGCTGTTTGGCACAAGAGGCACAAAATTCTTGAAAATACAAGATATGGATACAACTGTGAAAAATACTATCGGTATAAACACCTGAGGAAATAGTGCGTGTACAGTATGGCAGAGACCATATATATAGTCTCTGTTAAAATAATGAGTGAGTATGGTTTTACGCCGCTTTTAGCAATATTCCAGCAATATCACGGCGGGGGACACCAGAAATGGGCTTCACACATTATGCCCATGTGGGGATTCGAACCCGCGTCTTCGGCGTGACGAGCGAACGCTTTAACCACTAGGCTACCCCACCGCCCCCTGTTAAAATCGTAGGGGACAGCAAAATAAAATACCGATTCAGTCATAAGACCAAGTCCTGATCCGCTATATCATATGACCAGTCCCTCATTATCGGGGATGTTTACATCATATGGCATGTCGTGTTTTCATGATGAATATTTTTGTGCAATGTTACATTTTATTTCTGGTAGGCATGTATACATTACTAATTTACCGTTTTAATGGTTTTTTTAATATTCAAAGTCAACAAATAATCATTTGCATTTTATAATAACAATGCGTTTTTAATTTTCTATAATTATACATCGATTATTACAGATTTAAAAAAAGTTCTATTTGTGTCAAAATTCTCACATAGAATTCGCTGTTTATATCGTCGCAAGTGTGTGACGTCACAAAGTAGCCCGGCGGAGAAACAGGTGCCCTCCATGTAGCACGTCCCGAGAAGCCGTGTTAGAGTGGTGGGACATACCGGCCAGGTCAGCCGCAGGGGAGAGGTATTCTCGGCATGTTGGGACAAACACAAGCAGAAACAGTTAGCGGGTTAACAGTGTAATCACAGCCCATACTATAAACGCCCCTGTCGATTGAATCCACAATAAAATTACACTATCCACTGGGGTCCTGAACAGGAAGACACACAACTAGCTTTGCCCCCGTCTAAATATCGGCTACACATATTGACCATCTCTGTACATAATCCAGTCTAGATTACATCAACACGGACGATTAATGGGGAAATCAGCGAATAATGTTTAAGCGTGTGCGACACACACACGGATTACAATAACAAATCTCACTCATGAAAACCCTCAAACAAATATCTCTATTAGAAGCGTTGGAACAGCTTGATCTTGACTTTCTTGCGTGTGTGGGCGTTGAACTCTCAGCCATCCACATCACGTAGTCTCAAATAAAAGACGTCACTGCCGTGGCTTGTCATTCGCACGTGCTGTCCATATCAGGCGCAAATAAAACAAGTCCTTTCCCCTTGTAGTACGTAGTAACTCGTTGACTGCTGAGGGCGTGTACATGCGACGAGGAAGTGTAAATATTGCATTCCGTGATATTGATAAACCAGAAGAATGATTTCAGAGCTCGTGTGCTGTTGTGGTTTGGGTGAAATGTTATATGTATCATTGATCGACCTGTTATGAAACTGTTCCAACAAATAGTCAAGAAAGTTATGTAGCGGTATGCAGACTGGAGCGGTCAGGATGAGAAGAGGTGAGTTCGACAAATGGGCATATCTTTGATGGGTTGAAATATGTTTTCCCGCGTCTCCGTGCAAACGTAACTGGCGGTATCGCTTAAGGTAACAGAATATGAAGGGTTACTGAGGTGGTGACCAAAATATAATATATAGAGACTGTTGTACTGAAACAGGGTGTTAAAGACATGACATGAAACCTAGACATGAAACTTATACTGAAGTATTGTGCATCTTCACAATGTGGAAATTGGATATTATGTAAGTTTTACAAGAATATGTATCACAATACTCAAATACAACCACACATGAAATCAAAACCATGATGTTCGAAATAGTAGCATCGGTAATTTAACACAGGACTTCCGATGATACGGAAACAGGTAGCACACTTTCGCGTTCACAAACAATGAATGCTCCCTCAGGGGAGAATCTAATCACGTGATCAAACGCCATTGGGCCGCGAAAGAAAACCCAACGCTAGGAACCTTAAAACATTAATATTTCTCAACCGTGAATGTAGAAACTAGCAATCGCCTATTAATGTGAGAAATGGGTAAGTGTGCATACTGTTTGGGCTGTGTAACGCTAGCTAAAGTTCTGGATATTTAAATTGAGTCGCTGTCAAATCGTTGTCATCGTGAGATGGGCTTCTTGACATCTTTCCCGGTTGAGTACCTACCCCGGGGCCTTCAAGACACGCAACACACACTTTTTTATTTCTAATAATATGTTCCCGGTTGAGATACAGTACCGGGCGAACTAAGTATACCTCACAAAGTCGGCACTGGTGACATCTTGTGTTGATGATGCAGCCATGTTATAGTGTGAGTCCAGTGTCCGAACACGCTTCGCTTAGCGAGGGAACAGGTTGCGGCCATTGAGTGCGGTATGCATAGCCTAAAGATACTCGCGTGTCTTCCTCTCTTGTTTTATATAACAGAATGGTCATGTTCTTGTGCAAAACAAAGAGTAAGGAACCACATATATATTTTTTGCGTGTAAATGTGCATGTGTGTATGAATTATCTCCCCTTATTTCCTGGTTCACCTTGGGTCAAAGAGACACTTCCTCCTGCTGCTATCAGTGATACTGAATCACAAAGTGGAAGTGGGCGAGGGATACACGCGTTGTTTGTAAAGCTGCACTACACTGCACATCTCACTGTAAGTCATGCATGCCCTGATCCAAGGTTTATCGCATTAAACCTACATGAAAGCTGATGGACATGGTATGAATGATAGGCTCTGAGTGACAACATTATTATGAATTTACCATGTTAACATTAATTATTGTTGTGACAATGAAGATTTCAGTTAATACACATGCCCATTTTGTCCCAGTGAGGTAGTATTTGTTCTGGATTTGTCATTCTTATTTATTGTCAAAGAAAGACCGCCCTGTGAGTCATCTGAAAACAGATTTTGAAAAACCGTTTTAGCATGTAATATCATCCTGCATCTTTCTTCACAGCCATGGCTATTCTGAGGCATGGTTCTAAAAGCATTTTGCGGGATACGGTGATTTCGTAGACTGAACCAGTTCGTAGACGCGAGTGGATTCGTAACCCAGACTGGTTCGTAGACGGTGATTTCGTAGACGTGTATTAATAATTGAATAATAGTATATATTAAGTTTGATTTTTACACACCACGAGGAAAAGGGTTTTGGAAGTTTAATAATTCATTACTTTATGATGAAAAATATGTGGAACATGTAAAAAACACTATTAAAAATACTCTACAGCAATATGAAGAAAAAAAGGAAATGTAAAGAAATATACCATAAACGACCAATTATTAAAAAGACAGAGATAATGAAATAAATAAATGATAATTTCCCGACTGTTTTCATTGTTGTGGGAGGATTAACAGGTTTCACTGAGTTGTTGTGAATGTTAATTAGGAAGTGGTGAGTTGTTTTGATTGCGAAATACTCTGTGTAGGAGATGTAAGTGTTTTCTTAAGAAGCGTTTTCTGCTACTTCTCTGCTGGTCTGCGTAGTTGAACGTTGAATGACGATACTTACCTAATACATATCTTTTAATTTTACACAACTGAATTTAATATATTAGCGGGCTATGATTTGTCGGAATTTGTCGGACGTGGACCGCTGTGAAGCATATTTTATTATTTTAAGCATATTTTCACCGCCGATCAAACTTACCTGATATATCTTATTTATTTCACAATATGCAAACACTTTTCGTCGATTTTCTTCATCATTGAGGTTGAACTTTCCCCGTTTTACTAACGTCTACGAATCCACCGCTCAATCCGTCTACGAATCCACCGGATTTCCACGTCTACGAACCAGTCTGGTCTACGAATTCACCTACAGCCCATTTTGCTTGATGATAAACAGAAACCTTCTACCTTTTAGTACCTTTTTTGAGGTGTAAAATTTGGAAATCGGCTTTCATCTCCAAGGACCTTGTGGATAAATAGCTAGCTGGACAATCACCATCATATTCATGGACATTGTTAGACTGGTAGCTGTTGTTTCTGGCATGTTAAAACAATGCACTAAGCCTTGGAACGCACAACAATTTTACTGCCTGAAGACAGATTTAAAATAATTTATGGTGCAGTTGGATCTTTTTCAGCCAGTAATCAGTTCTCAAAACAATAACTGAAAGATACTCACAATGAAACCATATCACAAGTAATGTTGAAGACTTGGCTTGACATCTACTTAGTACAAGGAAGATTTTTAAGCACTTGATCACATGTTAATCAGGGAAGATTATGTTAGGGAAGGCCAGCATGGAACACAGAGAAAGTATCAGTTTCATATTAGCTTGTTTGCCTGTTTATGTTACATAAGCCCCCTGGCCCTCCTTCAGTAACTGTTGTTATATTTCAGACGTGAAACAGGTTAGTGTTCTATCTTGCATTCAAACTTATACTACATCCACATAAAGTAAATGTTGTACAGTCTTCTCCCGAAGTCACTTTGTTGTCAACTTGCTAGTGTGTCATTGTCATTGTAGTATACCATGTGTTCACTTAAAGGTGGGCTGTACAGACTTGAAGGTGCAGGACTGCGGTATAGTGATGTGTCATACTTTCATAGTACATGTAGCTGTGATCATGGTGATTGACAATATTACGTCTATAGTTTGGCATGAAATGCATGTGGACCCGTTTTTTTGTAAATATCTCTTCATCCAATGACCCAATCGATCTCAAACTGTGCAAGTGGATGTTTTGTCAGACAACCTAATCACATTGTAAATCACCGATTTTATGCATTTGTATGAAAGAATCTGTCTATGTAACTGCCAACAAAATAAACAGCAGAACGCAGACAGCTTGCAGAGGGAGGGAGCCAATGACCTGTAACAGCGGCAGTGTTGGGTCATAAAGGTAAATGCACGTGCAGTTCATGATAGTTACCTGTGCACTGCACAGTGATAGACCGTTTGGATCATTCACATTGACTACTTCTAGCTGTCATCATGAAAGCTTATTCAGATGATGCTAAACGTTTAATTAGAAATGTGTTGAACTTTTTTGAAAAAGAGAGCAAACGTAGCAAACCGATTTATAAGGTGTCGGATTACATGAAACGTACATAGCTGACCTACATTGACGAACGTTGACCTTTATGACCCAACACTGCCACTGTTACAGGTCATTGGCTCCCTCCCTCTGCAAGCTGTTTGCGTTCTGCTGTTTATTTTGTTGACAGTTACATAGACAGATTCTTTCATACAAATGCATAAAATCGGTGATTTACAATGTGATTAGTTGTCTGACAAAACATCCACTTGCACAGTTTGAGATCGATTGGGTCATTGGATGAAGAGATATTTACAAAAAACGGGTCCACATGCATTTCATGCCAAACTATAGTAATGTGTTACGAGTAACGTTTATTGGTCGGTCAATGTTGACTTTGCTACTGAGTCCTCATTGAGATATAACGTTCGCTCATCACACGGAAGGCTCGTGTTCGATTCCCCACATGGGTACAATGTTTGGAGCCTTTTTCTGGTGTCACCCCGTCGTGATATTGCTGGAATATTGCTAAAAGTAGCGTAAAACCATAGTCTCTCACTCACTCATTGAGTTATTTGGGGCTGTAATTGTGAACCAGGTCCTATACTTCAATTTTGGTACAAATTGAAACTGAACAAAACTAATAGGTCATGTAAACATCGTTATCATTTTTGTCTTGTTAATGTTCACACTAGGAGGATCAGTGGAGTAAAGTTTCCACTAGCCCTTTGGACTAGTCTTAAAAACTGATTTTCTAATGCTGCATATATTTATACTTACTTTGAGAAATTTCCGATGTAAATGTAGCAACAAGTGGAAGACAGTTGACAACTGTTTATGCTAGAAGTGCCTCCAATGTTTGTGGTCAACATGGCCAACACATCAACATTCTCATCTCCAGTTCTCCTGTCCCACTTCAAACGTGTCCAATGTACCATTCAGCCTTTTACGTGCATGTATTCAGGGGTGGAAATAACTTTAAAAATTGCTAGTGTACTCCGGTACAGTGGCCCATGTAAAATCACTTGCCCTGATAATTTTTCCACTATACTGGCCGATTTCCTTGTTGATTTTTTAAATAAACAACATAATTAACATTGGAAAGTCAACTGGACACTGGTACAGCGTGACATACAAATTTGCTAGCCCAACAGAAAAAACGCTGGACTGGGGCGTCGGGCAATGGGTTATTTCCACCCCTGAGTATTATCTCACCACTGTGAGGAAATGAACACTTTCTCCAAAAGGAAGTAAGGAGATACTCCACTAGTGTCGAGACCACATACTACTGTATGTTTCTCAATGTGTCATGTTAAAGTTATCAGAGGTACAGTTTCTCAATGTGTCATGTTAAAGTTGTTATCAGAGGTACAGATAAGCTGCATATCTGTCTAAATTACGCCAAAATGTGAAAACTCAATTCCTATTGAGTCTATTGCGTACAAGTACGTTTGAATTTTTGTAAATATTCAATAAATTTGATCTTACTTGCATACAAACAAAAATAGATAAAA